ACGCGTCTGTCAACAATAAATGATTATGGGGAAGGTGGATTAAAAATGATTGATTTAGAGAGCATGGTTAAAGCTCTGAGATTGGCATGGCTTAAACGAATATTTAACGCAAATGATGGAACATGGAAGCGGTACTTACAACACCAATTGAAAACATTTGGAGGACTGTTCTTTTTAAATTGTAACTATGATGTTAACGATTATACAATCACTTCCCAGTTTTATCGAGAGCTTCTTCTATGGTGGTCACAATTTCGTGAAACTTTCGCTACAGACTTGAATTGGACAAATATTATTTGGAATAATAAAGAAATTAGAATAGATAAAAAGCCTATCTATTACAAAAAATATTTTGACTCCGGAATCACTCACATCCACGATCTCCGGCTCGATTTGAATATTAATGATTCCTTCAGTTACGTTTCAAATAAAATTAGAAAAATTAGCTTTCTACAATGGGCAGGTCTTCGACACTCAATACCTGATTTTTTGAAAGATGATCGTGATTATATCTATACACTAACGCCTTCTTCGCTTCAAATAAATAACAACATTTTTGATGTGAAGAAAAAGAAATCGAAAGATTATTACTCCTTACTTGTCATGAAGAAATCACAGCCTCCTAATATTGTTCATAAATGGAAAAGCGACTTTAATATCTCAGATGATCTATTGAGGGAATCTTTCATTTTACCTCACTCTGTTGCACTTGAATCCTATGTTAAGGCTTTTCAGTATAAAATCCTTAACAATATACTCTACACAAACACGAAATTGTGTAAAATTGGCTTTAGAGCTGATGACTTATGCACTTTCTGCGAAGCTGAGCGAGGAACGCTATATCACCTGCTTTATCAATGCACTTATGCGAGACAGTTCTGGAATGATTTCGAATTGTACTGGTTCCGCTTGTCAAATCAGGTAGTTCACCTGACTTTGGAAAATGTTTCATTTGGAATGCTTTCAACACAATGCCCTTCACATACACTACTCAATTACTTTATTATTATCGGAAAACTGTTTATGTGGGACTGCAAAAGAAAACAAATACACCCTAAAATACAAGGTTATCAGAACAAGATAGCTATCAAATATGAAATTGAAAGAAAAATAAATAAGAAAACTTCTTTGAAAAGAAATGGATATTCAAATGAAAAGGAATGGTTAATAATTTAAAAAATCTTAAGCCGATTTGCCTTCTATCCTGTTTTTTCTCTCTTTTTTTTTTACGTATGTTGCTTGGTTTAATTAGTTTAATTTGTTTAATTTCTTAAGCTGAAAATAGGGTAACTGCGTAAGATTGTTAGATATATCGAATTGTTATCATTTTTAACCTATTTTATGAATGTAAAATTGTAACTGTGTAAATGAAAGTCCAGAATAAAAAAAATCAAAAAAAAAAATTTGTGCTTTGATCTGATAGTTAACTCGTTTTTCTTGGCTGTGATTAACATGGTTTTTGGCGAATATTCCCTTCAATGGAACGAACTACACGCAACAACACAAGAATGCAAATATTTCCGCACCCCTGAAGAACCGATAGAGAGAGATAAATAGACACCCCTTCCTGAAATAAGGTACAGACCCTAAGGGAGTACCCTTCTGAAGCAATAAAAGGCCAGAAAAAGGAACATATCTTGAGTCAATTTAGAACTGCGTTGCTTAATCCAAGTTTAGTTTAGAACTCGGTTCGATTAGTACATTCAGATGGCTAACTTTGCTCTCTTTGAACATCAACAAATATTGGAAAAAAGTTGCCGAATTTGTGGAGAGCGATTGAAGAAGGCAAAAGATAAGTATGAGAACAGTTTTCTTGGCGCTAATAGGACGGAGATTATTTTCACAGCCTTTGGTGTCAAAGTTCGTAAAGATGACCTTGGCATGTGCCCTCCCAAGTGCTGCCACAAGTGTTGCAAGGAAAAAAGTTGCCGAATTTGTGGAGAGCGATTGAAGAAGGCAAAAGATAAGTATGAGAACAGTTTTCTTGGCGCTAATTGGACGGAGATTATTTTCACAGCCTTTGGTGTCGAAGTTCGTAAAGATGACCTTGGCATGTGCCCTCCCAAGTGCTGCCACAAGTGTTGCAAGCTTGCTTAAAGAGAAGGCACACGCCTTGCAATCAATGTGTGGCCTCCACACAAACGCACTGGAAACTGGAAGATCTGCAGTTTCCTTAAAGATCAACAGAAACCTGATAGGAAGAAGACGACTAAACCTAAACCCAGAGAAGACTCAGCTGGACCCAAGGAGCAAGTGGAAATGGTGAAAGGAATGTCCAGCACTTTAAGCTTCCAACACGACCCAGCCTTACCCTCATTCTCTGAGGTGGTAAAGAATCTACAGAGCTCTAGAGGATCAGAACCCCTTTACCCAGAACAGTTTGTTGAAAACATCACGCATGAGTACATGAAATGTGGGGATCAGGTATGCTGAACTGTCACTGTAAATCCTACTGAGTTCATTGAGCCAGCCCTTTTGTTCTTTGCACCAAACTTTCAGAGTTAGATTTTTGATTTCCTACATGTAAACACACAGTAAAACTTCACCAACTACCTCTACATCAAGAAAGTTGCATTCAAAGCCCTACAACAGCACCCACACACATCTTCACCCCTTCACAAAGATCAGTTCCAGTGACACCATCCACCCTTGCCCCAGTGAAACCCATACCTGCAGCAGAGGAAGAGGGACCAGCACAGGTAAATGTACCATCACTACAAGCAGAACTTACAACCACCATTGATACAAATAAAACCTGCAGAGAACAACTGACAGTTAATCAACTACTAACCAGCCCAAAGGAAGCTTATACATCCCTAAAGGAGGAAGTTGGATTGTTCATCATTTCCTTTCACAGTCTCAGGATGGGGAAACTATTCTCCTCAAAACAGGTGGCCAGCTAATAAAATACTTTTTTAAGTTGAAAATAAAGACATTCATTTTCGAAACAAGAGATAAGATAATCCATTTTTAGACCTAAGAATAAGTGAAAAGGACCAAGGCAAGGAAAACAACTGACAAGGTAACAAGGAAAACTGCTAGACATAGATCAAAGGTAGTAGCAGAGACCAGGACAGCTGTGAGTGGTGGTGCAGCTGGTACCCAGTTGAAAGATGAACTGTGCACAATGGGCATACTGGAAAGGGAGCCACTATAGAAGGAGGCCTTGGGAAAGGAATTTAAAATCACCATTCCAAGAGGTGACATCCTGGCAATGGAAGCAGACCTTGGCAAAACATGGTACAAAGTTAGAAAGCTTAGGATGTAAGAAAAACATGAACAAAAAATCATTAAAAACCCCAAAGATTTTCTGAAGACCTTAGATATCAGTAACAGTAACTGTTTTGAGTTTGTATCCAAATTTGCCAACTGCCTGAATACCCTCAATCTGCTTACAAAATTACGATACCTATTATGTCTCTACAGATGGTTTGATCAGTGAGGACTATCCTCAGAGAGTGAAATAAGCCAACGAAAGCAAGTTCAGTCCATCACTGACCCTGCCAACTTGGTTTGTGAAATGGTCCCATTTGAATTAAAAAAACCAGGTTGCCATCCAGAGGTCAGGGAAGCAGAGTTTGGTTATGTTACAGGCCTGAACTAATTCATACATCTTCATCTGGTTGAAAATGAAAATTATGATAATGAAGAAATAGTAAAAAAAAAAAAAGTAAATGCAATCACTAGATAAATGATTGAAATTAAACAAAGTTAGCTGTTGCCTTTTGTTGTGAATTATAGTCAGTTAGAGTTGGTTATCATTTTAGGAATGGAAGGCTGACATGGAACAATGCAATCCCAGAAAATGAAGTGCACATAAAACTTGGAGGAGATGCTGGTGGTGGGTCATTTAAAATGGCCTTCCACATAGCTAACCTGAGGCATCCAAACTCTAAAACCATGGTCTTTGCCATGTTCCATGCAAAAGATAGTTGGGCTAATTTAAAGACAGCCTTAATGAAATATAAAGAACAAGTAAACACCTTGAAAGAAGCAACCTGGGCGTAAGTAAAAAAAATTTATACCTCACTTTTAGTTAGTCTAGAGAATAGAGACTTAAAAAATAACATTAATTGAATTCTTCTTTTTGTTTTGCCCATTTCTAGCAGTGAAAAGAAAGTGGTTTTCCTGTTTGGTGATTGAATTCCTATGCAAGTTATTTGGAATAGCTGGTGCCTCAGGTATGATCTAGACAGTAATTCACATATACAAATAATTATGATTTAGCAATTCAATAAAAGAATATAAATGTAGCCTCTACTCTATATTACTATTTCTGTGAAACAGGTTTCCACAGTGAGAATTGTATTTGCAGGCAAATATCCATGTCTTTGGTGCAAGATAAATCATGAATTAATGTAAGTCTCTTGCCATAAAAAATTGAAATTGCGCCTAATACAGGCGCCAGTGCGACTAAATTTTTCACTTTGGCGACCAAATCCTGAAAGTTAGACGCCAAATTGGCGACTAGAATGTTTCATCATAACCTTACCAAGAGATATAGTGAATTAAAAAGATTTGCAAAGATAAATCCGCGACAAACTTCCTCGTTAAGTTTGTTTCCAAAACGTAGCACATGCATCTCGATTGATAACTAGACGCCATCTTGGATTTAAGTGAGCTTGAACGTTGTATATCATCCATCCTAGTGTCCACTTTGTAGCACGTTAGAGATCTTTTCCCTTACTTAATTTTGGAGGGTTTAGCTAGAACGCTGACAGCGTAAAGAAAGGTTTTGTTTGTCTTTGAAAATGGCGACCACCTTTTTTTGAATTGGCTACCACTTTGAAAAAATTAAGGAGCCAAATGGCTATCAGAAAAAAAAATTAATTTCACGCCCTGCAATGTGATTCATGAGAAACTGCTGGACAATGAATTGGACAAAGTAAGATACAAGAGTTTATTTTGTTGCTTCGAAGAGGGACTTACAGGACACCTAACTAAATGGTTCCCTGTTTCAGGTTTGTGTTCCTGGACTTCACATCAGCCAAGATGTGTTTAAGAAACTGTTTGATGAACTAGAGAACCAGTGCTTTGAGCTGGACAAAAAAAGTCAAATGGCACTAGCAGGAGACAGTGAAGAGAATGATGAAAAGTTCCAGGCATTCAGAGCTGCCCAACTACAATTTACAAGAACAGCACAACAATTTAATGAAAAAGGCAATTATTTACAGGAGTTGCTGAATTTACAAAGTCTGCATGCTAATGTATATCATGCCTGCCTACTTTACACTACTACAGGAGGAGATAGACAAACTCCTTGGAAATGCAAAGGAGGAGGTAACAATAATGTATTTGTGCTTTCCAGTATCACAGCTGTACAGTTCTCCCATTCCATTGCACATGTTTCAAACCCATGTTAATTTTTTTAGTTAAATAAGTTATGATTTTGTTTTATAGATCATTTATTTGTAATATTACACTGGCTCAATTTTTCAAATTATAGCTACTAAACAGTAGGTCAGATAACCCAGATTTAAATAGTATTATCTAAACATTATAGGAAAAGCTTGCAAATGAACAAATGGAATTGGCTGCCTTTGAGAAAGCCAATGGACCACTACCAGTTCATTTGGGTGAGGTTCTCAAGAAAATGAATGTCGAGAGACAAGCTTACCATGGAAAATCATTCATTGGTAACCATGTGCACACTTGCTGCAAGGTAGCACAAATTCTACCCTTAGAATAGGAATTTGTTGAGTCACAAAATTCTTTTGAATTTTTTTTTTTTTGGTAGGAAGACAACATCATTAAACTATGCAGTGCTGTGGTGACAAAAACAGTGGAGCTGTGTCCTTCCTTCCTTTCTCAAGCAAGAGAAATTAGCGTGAAATTCAAACAAGTTTTCAAGTTATTTGCTGCTTGCCACTTTGTCTATGACAGTGCAGACTATCTCAATGATAGCAACATTGATAAGCTAGGTAAGCGAAAGAAAAAACTTGACTTTCATGGAAAACATGAATACAGTAATAAAATCATGTCTCAAGTCCACCTTTTCTTGTTTTCTTGTTGCAGAGGAAGACATCACAGATTTTCCTCAGTTCATTAGGGAAAAATTCCCAGACATGACAATTACACCAAAGCTGCATATGCTAGAAGAACATGTTTGCCCTTTTCTTCGACAATGGCACATGGGCCTTGGATTCTATGGTGAACAGGGGATTGAAGGAATACACTCTGAATTCAATACCCAGTCCCAGCATTTTGACCATGTGAAGGAAAAGGATACGAGATTGCTTCAAATTCTTGTGAACCACCACATTGCCACGAGTCCGGAACTAGCAGGGAAAGCTCCCAAACCCAAAGAAAGAAATTTAAAACGAAAAGCGAACGAGTAAAACTCTTTCCTTTTCACTAGCAATGTATCGGTTCGTTGACTAAGAACGAGTACTATGTGTGTAAATCTAATTTATTTACTCAAGCTCTAATTTAGACGAATAAAAGTGTTACCGCACTCTTTGAAATCAAAACTAAACCTTTCCAGTCGTTTACAGTTACGCTGCAAGTGTGAGGAAAGAGTGACTCTTTTCCCAGTCGAAAGAATTGCTGCTAGAAACAACAACCTTTAATTCAAGTGACTAAACCTCCGGCAGCCGGAATTAATAAATTCGCAGCACCGTTCGCAAAGAGACCGAAGGTTGAAGGCGAACAATCCTTTTGGCCCAAGTACATTACGATAGTGCACTTGGTCCTTTTGCGAGAGCTTTAACGGGCGGTACAATAGATATAGTGACCGGTTTCTTCTAAAGATGAGAGGTGATCGATCGCTGGCGCTCCTTGATATATATTCAAGATTTTTTATAACCAGTTGGTAACGAAATGGAGACATCCTTACCTTACAAAGTAATATCTATGGTTTTCTGCTGTTCTTCTTGAAATGTCTATTCCAAAAGTCACGCAAACTTGCCTTAAAACCTTGTCGTACATCGCTGTTGTCTGAAAAGTTGACCATGAAAGAGTTTTGTTCACCGTCTGGTTCGTTAGTTTTAAAATAAATTACCAACTCTAGCCAATCAGAATTGACAAAAGAATCGGCAAGAGAGGTTAACCAACAAAAAGTCATTATACATTTTCTTACAAAAGAGCAACGTCACGGAACACGATTAATGTCAGGTTTGGGTAAACGTTACCTCGCCTCCGTTTCACCTTTTGGGGGGGGGGGACGGAAGGGGAGGGTACGGCTACACGTAGGCTAAGTCAGTGGTCACCAAAACGCTTTTCCACATAGGCAATCGAATTAAGAAAAAGCACTGCGTGTCAATGTTTGCGTAACATTGACGTGCTGTTTGAACTGTTAGGTTTGCAGAAACAAAAAGGCTTTGATACACTAACGTAAGCGCATGTAATATCTTATACTTGTCTAAACTGGCATTGATTGACGATGCTCGGAATAAAAACAACCTTATCACGTGAAGGCGTTGTTTTGATTGTAGCAGGAATGTTTGAAAAGAATATTTCGATATTTCTCCGCTCTGATTCTCAATCAAAGCTAATGTGTTAAAACAGGAGTCAGTTAAACAAGCGTCATAAACGTTACGGTTCAAAGAATTAGAATGAGTCTACTCATTATAAGATGTGATAGAACTCTCATTTAAATTGCGTTTGGCTACGAATTAATTGTATCTTACTACCTCAACATATTTTGAATGTGATCTTTAAATAAGGTTGACATTTATGTTGTGACCCACGGACTACGTACTGGAGGACTATTGAAAGCCAAATAATAATATAATTTGTCTTAGGCCAAATCCCACAATGATCCAAACAAAGATGCGCATCTCTGATATTCAAACAGACAACCAAGAGTGTCTATTTCGGTGACCCCTCATAAATAGAGTGAAACGCGGTTATTCCCTCATTCTTGTACACTCCGGTAAAATAATCTGCATGTAGACGTCTCCAAAATGTTTTGCTTTGTTTAGTTCACGCGGAACAAAGGTGAACATTGATGTTCACAGTTTGAAAGAGGCCTGTCACCTATCACAGTTAATTCCTGTCACCTAGACAAAGCGCTTTTATCCTTTATCAAGCAGGAAAATTTTCCAGACAAAGGCTTCTTAAGCACAGTTGCACGTACGCGCATTCCAGCGTCAGTTGCCTTGTGCGGTGAAATCGATATTAAGTTAAAAGCAGAAACATTCAACAGGAGTATATCATTTACGAGCAAAACGAGCCGCGAACTACATGCAACATAATCATGAGCTCCAAACCTTGCCGTGTTGGTCAATGGACTCCTTCTGACTACAAATTTCTTGACAAGTGGTTAGCCAACTTGATCATAGAAGTTCAAATTAAATACAAAGATAAGTTAGCGTTATTGATGGCTCTTCATCCACCGGCTGAAGATGAAGAAACAGCTAATGGTGAAACTCCGCTGATAGTTGCTCACGGTACAGAAGACCTCGGTCTCCATCCACCCGTTCAAGAATTATTGAAAGCTATCATCTCCGATCCCAAGATCAACATGTTCTTCCATCAGATGTTCTGGCAACAGTACAAGAATCCAGACAGTTCGAAAAGAACAAGGATCCCTTGCTGGCAACTGATGATTATTTTAATCGACTACATCATGACAAGAGCTCCAGAGTACAACAAAACCAGTTTGGTTGGTCTCCCCATCAATGTAATCCTGAACTGGCCGATGGCTACGACTGCTGGATTTTCTGCTTTCCTCAACGACAAAGTCAACAGGTTGCTCAAAAGTATTCTCAACTACTGGGGAAAGTTTCTTTCCAGTTCTGCTTCTTGTCACGTGTTGACTGATGATCCTCGTCATGGTTGGCTTGGTGAAGACGCAATGCAAGCAATGCCAAACTTCGTCCAAGAGTTCAAATGCAAGCCTAATGAAAAACATTACGGTTTTACATCATGGGATGACTTCTTCACCAGAGAGATTCGTGCTGGCATTCGTCCAGTAGCATCTCCGGACGACGATTCCATTGTTGCGAATGCCTGTGAGTCAGCGCCATACCAGATCTCTACAGCCGTGAAAAAGAGGGACTTCTTCTGGGCAAAGCACCAACGGTACTCATTGGACTTCATCCTGAACATGAGTGACCTTGCCAAGCAATTTCATGGTGGAACCGTCTACCAAGCGTACCTAAGTGCCACCAGTTATCACCGATGGCACAGTCCTGTGTCGGGCACCATTTACAAGACAGAACTCGTGGATGGTTCTTATTATTCTGCAACCCACGACATTCAGGATAGCCCCGCATCGCCCAACATATGCATGTCACAAGGATACCTAGCCCAAGTTGCTGCCAGAGGTATTATCTACATTCAAGCTGATAATCCTCACATTGGCTTGATGTGCTTCGTATCGCTCGGTATGTCAGAGGTGTCCTCCAACGAAATCACGATTAAAGAAAAGGATAAAGTGAAGAAAGGTGACCAGCTCGGCATGTTTCACTATGGTGGGTCCACCCATCTACTGATATTTCGCCCTGGAGTTAAAATCGAGTTCGATACGAGAGGTCAAACGCCAGGTCTGCATACCGAAAATATTCCCGTTAAATCGAAAATTGCGACCGTACATCCATCAACCTAAGCTAATATAACTATGGATTTTGATAAACAGCTTGATTTTGTCAGTGTTCGGTATGAACATGATAATTTTCTTTCTTTCCTCTTAGATGTCTTTTGACAATAGGAAATTTGGTTTTTTTCATTTTCACCTCGTCAATTGTTATCAACTACTAAATTTAGAAGTGTTCGGCAACTACTAAAATTAGGAATGTTCTGGCTTAGTGTTTGTGAATTGTTTAGGCCTGTTAGATTATTTCGCAATCCTTATGCGAGTCTTGTGAGCCTTGGTTTGTTATGTGCTGCAAGACCACACCTTTATTACTACCTTTTTAGTAGTTGGTCCTCGACCGTTGTAATAGGCCTGTTTTACGATAATTGTCATCTCTGGCCGTGTTCGCGCTTGTCCTTGCTTAGACCCCCCGACGGGAGATTTTGTTTAAGGTTTTAGCCATCAAAGTTCGGAAGTTTTTCAGGCATATTTATTTGTACCAGGGGCATGTCTAATAATTGATGGTGTATTTTGAAACCGAAGCATTTAATCACTTATTCTATCATTTGCGATGGGATTTTTAATAATAGTTACTAACCAAAAGTTTCTTAACTCACATTTGGAGTGAAATATATTCCTATGGTTTACCGAGGGGGCATTAATAGAAAACTTAATCCTCAATGTGCACGTTACTACTTAGTTGATTTCTGATATGTAGAAATAAAGCACTGCCTTTTCATCTAAGCAGAGCTTAGATGTTTTCGTTTCAACGTTTCTTGTAAAAATATCACATTCCACATAACACAACACCTCACCTAGAGAAAAACTTCTAGCCCCGACCGAAACTGTTTGATCCATTTTTAATAACACAATTGTCAATTGTATGCTAATTCAACCGTTTGAATACTAGGCCAAAAGAAATTAGGATTTTAAAGGCATTCATTCTCTATGCATTAATCTTCGATGTGCACATTACTACTTAAGTGATTTCTGATATGTAGAAATAAAGCACTGCAAGACTGTTAAGGGCTTAGATGTTTTTCTTTCAACTTCTCTCATTAAAAATATCATATTCCACACAACACAACACCTCACCTAGAGAAAAGCTTCTAGCCTCGACCGAAACTGTTTAGTCCATGTTTAATAACACAATTGTCAATTGTGTTCTAATCCAACAGTTTGAATTCTAGGCCAAAAGTAATTAGGTTTTTTAAAGGCATTCATTCTCGATGCATTAATCTTCGATGTGCACATTACTACTCAGTTGATTTCTGATACGTAGCAATAAAGCACTGCAAGACTGTTAAGGGCTTGGATGTTTTTCTTTCAACTTCTCTTGTTAAAAATATCACATTCCACACAACACAACACCTCACCTAGAGAACAAAAGTACTGCAAGAGTGTATTCAAAGAAGCTTCCATTACAATCAGCTATACTCCTAAAAGAGGTACCAGTTTTCAAATTCCTGAACTCCTTCTTATCCGGCGGGTATTTTCGTTGCTTAGCCCATTCCTTGTCTTTCCTGCGCATTCGACAAGATGAAAAAACTAAGCTGAACGAACCCGAACGTGATTGACAATGGTGCACCGATATTTGCTCCGACATTTCGAAGGAAACTATAGGCTTACATGAGGATGAGGTTTTTCTACGCCTGTACGGCGAATGAAGTAGTCGCTTAGTCACCACCAAAAACAAATTGGTCAGCCTGCCATGAGGTCACTCATGGGAGGTAAAGGGTTAAACAGAATTCAGAAAATTCAGCCTTACAAGATTACATTGACCTAAATCAATGAAAGTCACAGGAGATTAGTTTCCTGCAA